TCAACAAATATAGTAAAGTTGCAGGATATAAAATTAACACACAGAAATCCCTTGCATTCCTATACACTAACAATGAGAAAACAGAAAGAGAAATTAAGGAAACAATACCATTCACCATTGCAACAAAAAGAATAAAATACTTCGGAGTATATCTACCTAAAGAAACAAAAGACCTATACATAGAAAACTATAAAACACTGATGAAAGAAATCAAAGAGGACACAAACAGATGGAGAAATATACCGTGTTCATGGATTGGAAGAATCAATATTGTCAAAATGGCTATACTACCCAAAGCAATCTACAGATTCAAGGCAATCCCTATTAAGCTACCAACGGTATTTTTCACAGAACTAGAACAAATAATTTCACAATTTGTATGGAAATACAAAAAACCTTGAATAGCCAAAGTAATCTTGAGAAAGAAGAATGGAACTGGAGGAATCAACCTGCCTGACTTTAGACTATACTACAAAGCCACAGTCATCAAGACAGTATGGTACTGGCACAAAGACAGAAATACAGATCAATGGAACAGAATAGAAAGCCCAGAGATAAATCCACGAACCTATGGACACCTTATCTTCAACAAAGGAGGCAAGAATATGCAATGGAAAAAAGACAACCTCTTTAACAAGTGGTGCTGGGAAAACTGGTTAACCACTTGTAAAACAATGAAACTAGAACACTTTCTAACACCATACACAAAAATAAACTCAAAATGGATTAAAGATCTAAATATAAGACCAGAAACTATAAAACTCCTAGAGGAGAACATAGGCAAAACACTCTGACATGAATCACAGCAGGATCCTGTATGACCCACCTCCCAGAATATTGGAAATAAAAGCAAAAATAAACAAATGGGACCTAATGAAACTTAAAAGCTTTTGCACAACAAAGGAAACTATAAGCAAGGTGAAAAGACAGCCCTCAGATTGGGAGAAAATAATAGCAAGTGAAGCAACAGACAAAGGATTAATCTCAAAAATATACAAGCAACTCCTGCAGCTCAATTCCAGAAAAATAAATGACCCAATCAAAAAATGGGCCAAAGAACTAAACAGACATTTCTCCAAAGAAGACATACAGATGGCTAACAAACACATGAAAAGATGCTCAACATCACTCATTATCAGAGAAATGCAAATCAAAACCACAATGAGGTACCATTACACACCAATCAGGATGGCTGCTATCCAAAAGTCTACAAGCAATAAATGCTGGAGAGGATGTGGAGAAAAGGGAACCCTCTTACACTGCTGGTGGGCATGCAAACTAGTACAGCCGCTATGGAGAACAGTGTGGAGATTTCTTAAAAAACTGGAAATAGAACTGCCATATGACCCAGCAATCCCACTTCTGGGCATACACACCGAGGAAACCAGATCTGAAAGAGACAAGTGCACCCCAATGTTCATCACAGCACTGTTTATAATAGCCAGGACATGGAAGCAACCTAGATGCCCATCAGCAGACGAATGGATGAGGAAGCTGTGGTACATATACACCATGGAATATTACTCAGCCATTAAAAAGAATTCATTTGAATCAGTTCTAATGAGATGGATGAAACTGGAGCCCATTATACAGAGTGAAGTAAGCCAGAAAGATAAAGACCATTACAGTATACTAACACATATATATGGAATTTAGAAAGATGGTAATGATAACCCTATATGCAAAACAGAAAAAGAGACACAGATGTACAGAACAGACTTTCGGACTCTGTGGTAGAAGGTGAGGGTGGGATGTTTCGAGAGAACAGCATCGAAACATATATATTATCTATGGTGAGACAGATCACCAGCCTAGGTTGGATGCATGAGACAAGTGCTCGGGCCTGGTACACTGGGAAGACCCAGAGGGATAGGGTAGAGAGGGAGGTGGGAGGGGGGGATGGGGAATATATGTAAATCCATGGCTTATTCATGTCAATGTATGACAAAAACCACTACAATATTGTAAAGTAATTAGCCTCCAACCAATAAAAATAAATGAAAAAAAAAAGAAATGAAGTAAATCACAATAAGAAATTCTACTTTCAAATTACCAAAGTGGAATATGATTAGCTTAAATCTGGTGAGAATGGTCAGAACTACCCTTTTTCTATGAGATATAAACATACCTTAAGTCTGGTTCCTCGCACAGGAGGAAACTCTAAATCATTCTCAGCCTTGACAGCTTGTTGAATGAGAATGAATAAATGAAAGAAAGAGAGAATGAAAACATACCAAATGTGTACTAACAGAAATTTAGAGACAAAAGTTGTTTGACTGTCAATTTTGTCATTCACTAAGTGCTATGTCTTTTCTCAGGTTTTATTTTTTTCAACTTCAACTGGAAAGAATAATGAGACTATGCCTATAAAATGATCAACCCAATAAGGAAAAGTCCCTACTGCTCATTAGCATTCAAACAGATTAGCATCAATGATAATAGCAATATTTAGTTGGAGTGGTAGGTTTACGGATGCTCATTTTAACTTTTAATCTATATAATGTATTCTCTTTTGCATGTATCTGACATACTTTTTAAAATAGATCACAAAACAAAAAACAAGAAAATACATAATGCTTAAGGACCAGACAGTTTCATTTCTTGGTTACCGTATGATCCAGTCAGTGCACATCATTTTGCCTAAAGGACAGCACAGTCATTTTCAGAGCAGTAAACTTTCCCTTGCACATGTAGGGAACCTGAGGCCCTGGTCCCAGCTGACCCTTCTGCTAAGGAAAAACCTATAAAGTCAATACTATTTCTTCTGAATCAACTTGCATTAGGCTAATACATTAAGTACATCTTTAAAACTGAGTGACCACACTCCTGTTGCCTGGTGGCACTGACAGTATTTAGCCAAACACCCATGGGGCACTCCATATTCAATCACTGCCCATACCCAGGGTCCTAAGGTTTTTATGATCAGGCTTCCCTGGTGACTCAGACTGTAAAGAATCTGCCTGCAATGCAGGAGACCCAGGTTCATTCCCTGGGTTGGGAAGATCCCCTGGAGAAAAGAATGGTTACCCACTTCAGTATTCTTACCTGGAGAATTCCATGGACAGAGGAGGTTGGTGGGCCACAGTCCACAAAGCTGCAGAGTTGGACATGACTAAGCAACACACACACAGGGACTGGGAGCTTGGCAGGCTACAGTCCATGGAGTTGCAAAGAATCAGACATGACTAAGCAACACACACACACACACCCCTACCTATCTACCTCTTGGGTAGCCACTCTTTACCTGCTGACTGCTTACCAGATTTCATTCAGCAAAAAGACTATTCCTATATTCCACAATGCCTGATAGTCTATCAACAGAGACCTCTTCTTTGTTTAGGGCTTTATTCTCCATTGAAATAAGGAGACTTTTGGGAGAAGTAGCAGATTGTGCTTCACCAATCACTTATACAGCAGTGTGATTGAATTTATCAGTGGAAACTTGATTATACATTTCCTTTTATCCCTGAATGAAGAGATTCAGAGGGAAGAGGGAAGCATAAGTGTGTGTGGTGAAGAATTGCAGACAATGAAATCATTCTGCTTAGAGCCCAACCTAACTATTTTTCATGCTGTCAGTTTCTAGCTAGACAATCCATCAAAGCCTCCAGAAATGAGTCATGATTAAGGAAGAAATGTAGAGTGTCAGTACAACCCTCGAGGTACTCCAGACTTTAACAGAAATTCCCAGGGTTCAAACCTAGAAACAGGGTCTTTACCTAGGAAGAACAAATGAACCAAATACTTGATCATAATGTAACTACTTAGGTCACAGGTCAGATATGGGGGAACAAGTCAATTTCATGGGCAAAAACCTCTGGATGTTACAAATGGAAACAAATAATTATCTATATGGAACAAGAGAACATGACTTGAGAGATTTCTGACAAATGTATAACGTGTTGTGGCAAAACTGAGTTAGGAAATTTCTTAACCAAATTAAAACTAAAACCACTGAGAATTTGAAGAGAAAAATTGTAGCATCTAATTGGAGTAAAGATGAGAAACTATAGTAAGAGCTAGCAAAGGTCTTATTCTATGTTTCTTATTTGTCCTTCATGAAAAAAAGAGATAGCCAAAGACATGAGTCTTCTTTCTAAGAATGCACGTTGGCATACGTGAAGGTGTAGAGGCAAACACATAATCACACAAGGGAGTGCACCCAGCTGCCTCTTCCGGAAGAGCTTTGGCTGCAGAAAGGTAAGGACCTAGGTATGTGCCAGGCTGACAAACATCATGAAGGAGAATCCAGAGCGACCTCTCTCTCTGACCCTCAGGGCATCTTCTTGGAATTAAAAGCTGCAAAGGTCACTGACCTCATCACCTCAGTTCCACAAACAACTGAAGAGGATTGAGTCAAGACTGTCAGCCAAGTCAACTGGAAGTCATTAAGAGTTTCAGGGACAAAATGGATTAAACAAATTAGGTACTACTAAATGTGAAAGGAACACCACAAATTAGCTGAGCTGCAAACTTAGATTTGAGAATTGGACAAAATCCAATGTCATGCTCACACTTTAAAGATAAAGTCTCTGGGTTCAAAACTGTCAACAGCTTCAACATATTTATGGCTGCTTGCTCTGGTCCCTAAAAGAAGGGAAATTGTAATGATACTACAATGATTTACTCAACCCTACACCTAAAATAAAAGGGCCCAATTAATCAGTCACCTCACACTTATTCCAGTCAATAAAAATAAATGGTAACTCTACCCACTATTCTGTTTTCTGTGGTATTTAGAAAGAAACAGAATTAGAACTTCGAAAAGTGTGAAAGGTGATGTTTTAGGAGCTTCCAACAGACTGAGCTGACAAAAATACTCTTTTCTGCCTCAAAATCAGTTAAGATTATGCAATAAAATATTTTTAAAAATCATACGATCTGAGAAAACTGCCTAGAATTCCTTGAGCTTGAGGGGATGTCACTCAGGTATTATATCTGGTGTGCAAAAAAGCTAAAGAAACATATTTGTCATGAGAAATCACAGTATTAATACTTACACAACCTCCAGCGAGGATTTCTGCTAAAAGTGGAATGGAGCCATCTCTCCTGGTAAATTTGTCCCGGACAAAATCATTAACCTAATTAGAAAGACAACATTAATTAACCAGAACTCCCAATCATTGCCTTTAGTGGTACATTATTAGTTTTCCAAGTCAGCAAAATACTTGTCTCATATAAAATTTAAAATTAGCAGATGTCTACATATAAATTCAAAATTTTACAAATGCCTCGACAGTGTGCTAGTCTTAGCAGCGTCAGTTTTGGTTTGTTTGGTTTTTTTTTTAATTTTTTTGCCATGCCACACAGCATGAGGGATCTTAGTTCCCCAACCAGGGACTGAACCTGTGGCCCCTGCAATGAAAGTGTGGGGTTCAACCACTGGACCAGCAGGGAAGTCCCAGCAGCAGTTTTAATTTTTGGCTTAGTGATAATCTAAACAAATGACATAAATTCAATGAGTTAGCAACTTACAGTCAGTTTAATGGCCTTCTCTGGAGCAACCCCTATAAGTTGCGGTATCAGACCTAGGTAAACAGAGAGAATTGTTAGCAACATAGATGTACTAGACATGAACACACAAGCCCAATAAGGTGTTTTCCCCCACATTATTTACCCATCAAACATCTTGGGATTTTCATGAAAATGGGAAAAAATGGATTATCCTAAAAACTATGCATATGTATATAATTATTATTTATGTCAAATACAATGTTATAATGTCTGTTGCTATAAATCCTTTTCTTAAGCAGGCTTCCTTTAAAGCCTAGTTATCTAACACCTCTCAAAAACTATGAGGAAGAAAGGGAGCCCATGGATCTTCTCTACTCCCAGAACACTACCAATGACAATAGAACCACATTCCCCCTCCTTACCACCAACAACATACTAACTTACATAGACATTTTAGAGAAGCCAATGATGTATGCCTGGAAAAGCTCTGGAAAGCATCCTGTAAAGTAGACCCAGGTTCTGCCACAAATGATGCTACCTGTGTAATAGCACACAGTGGCTTGGCTAGTACAGAAAATCAACTCCCATAATTTTCTCTTTAGAGAAACACAGAATTTAGTGCTCATTTATTTAAAAGAAAGCCAAATCTATAAAGAAAAATGCAGCTTAAAGTACCAATTAATGGGTATGCTCTACAAGGAAAACAGCCCACTGTTAGCCTATGTACTAATATATGTCAAACGTAAGTCATTTCAAAAGAATTCTCCTAAAATAAAGGAAACCATTATTCTTAGAAAGTTAAATTTTCCAGGCTGGCTGCAAAAGAAAAAAATATATAAACAATTCAACATCTGTAGCTATTCACAGGGCTCAACTTTCTAAAGCACACAGATTATCCAAATTATTAAAATACATTTTTGCATACAGTTTTAAAAGATGCTAACAATAAACATATTATAGCCTTTAAATCACCCAGGCAAGGGGAAATTATGTATGTGTTTGCATGCTCACTGTTGATCTTAAGCCTACTTTGAGGATATTGCTGAGTGATTTTCTGCGAGTTGAGAGCCAGCAAGTAATCATATATATAGGCTACTGTCAGTCAAACTGAATTATCAATGACAAACACAAATCTGCACACACCTTTAATGGGTAGCAGCTGATTTAAAAGAATAAATCAGCAGATGGCAGTCTTAACTTTCTCTCATGATTATCAGGCCTTATTACTTTTAATCTGATTCCCATACAACCATGTCAGCATGAGTATTTGTTTTACAACCTTGCCTCAGTAAGGCACATAGAATTTTAATATAGTACTGATGGTTTATGTCATTTTATCATTGCTGCCTACAAAGAAATTTAGGCTACTCTGTCAACAGTTTTGTCAATCATCTGACAAAATAATGGACCAGCTCTAAACAATGTATGACAATCTCAACATAGTGTTCACATACAGGACTCCTACAATCTTCCCCCCAATATAAGAGTTTCTCATTTAAAGGACTGATTTCATCAGCTCACATCTTAAATCAAGCTAATAACTTCTTTACCCCCTATCCCCAACTTGCTATATTGAATCCAAATAATATGACATCTCTCTCAAATAAAATCTTCTGTAAGCATCCATCTATTGAGAAGGTAAACTGCAGTATGTATATCTAGGTTCCTTCTCTTTTAAAGTATACCAAACAGGGAGAAAGAGTCTTATTCAACAAAGAAAGATTGGAGATGTCAAAGAAAAAAACCACTTAGCACCATTTAACTGTCAGGTTTCCTATAAACAGAATTCAGATATGCAGTGATTAATAAAGTCTCAAACAAGACGGACATGCACAGATCTGCATTCTAGATAACGTACACCTCTGCGCACGTTGTACAGCTAGAATTTTGTTGTACGGCTAGAATTTAAGACAGGCTAGAGTTCTGAATATCTTAAGAAAATTCACCACATTTCTTCTCAAGGGCAGGGTATTTGAGCCTAATCTGATTCCAGAACCACTCTCTTGTTCTAAATAAAATGCCAAAAACGAACATCCTTGTGACCCTCTCCTTCAAGTATATCAGAACTACCTTTTCACTTGAGTATCTGCACATATTACCAATCAGAGGTGTTTCTCCTCCTGTCCACGAGCATAAAGCTTTGTTCAGGCTCAGAATGAGCTCAGGATTAATGAGACTGTGTGTGCAAACAAACAAGTACAGTAAATTACATAAATGCTCTGGACCTGAGCATGTAGAGAGTTTTTCAAAGAATTCCAAGTGGCGCCCAAAGGGATTAAAAAATTAATCTCCCTCCCAAAGGAAACTCTAAATCTAATGTGAAAACACGTACATGAAAGTCTCCCTCTCCCAAGAGAACAAGTTCCTACAAAGCCGACGGTGCTGGGGAGAATCCTGCATGGCGGCTGCCTCTGATGCCGACAGCACTGTGCTCAGCTTACAGCTGGTGATCACATTCCCTGTAAAAGACAGCCTCCTTCCACTCAGTGTCTCCAAACGAAGAGGAGGAGTGGAGCAAGAATGGGACTGGGAGCAAAAAGCTTTCCTTTTCTGTTGTTTTTTAAACTTCAGATGACTCACTGGCAAAGACTTATGAATGGTCCCCTTGGAAGAGACAAAAACATTTGCTATTTCTTTCAGCTGAAACAAGTGAATAGCGAGTAAACTCACCTCCAAAGTGCAGGTTGGCTTCTCTTTCAAAGAGAAAAGGTGTTATTTCTCCTTTAAAATTCACTGAGAAAAGGAGCTATTTCTTACCTGTCATCCTTGCATTCCACCTGCAGACCTGTGCTTCAGTTTGTAAGAGCACAGTGACTACAAACCCATGTTGGGACAAATGCAGGCTTTGGAGGGAAGAAATAAGAAATAAAGACCTTGTTTGCAGACTAATATAGCTAGTTACCAGCAAGAATGTAAAAAGGGGAAACAAACAAGGAGACAATAAGAAGAAATACAGTCCTGGTCTGACTGAACAGGCTACGCACTGATTTTCATAATGAGTGAGGCCAAGTCTGCTGTGGTGAGATAAACTCACTTACTTGAGCAGCTGAGATTCACTTACTCACCCCGGTAGAGTCCAAAGAAGCCCTCATAACGCAAGACTTTCTTAAAACAGTCAAAGCTGTTTTTGTACATCAGCTCTCCCACAACAGAGCCTGTGCCACGCTGGTTTTGCATGCGGGTCTTCACCAGATCTATAGGATATACTGCGGTGGCTCCCACAGCTACAAATAAAACAATTTTTAGGCTTAAAAGCACAATTAAATGGAGAATCTGTAAGGACAACAAATCTCATCTCAGAGAAAACACAGTATCTATTCTCACATAAGAGACTTTAGGTAGTTTTTCTTTCTTTCATACACAGATGAAGGATCAGAGGCTAGCGAGCACTGGGATCCATAAATACAGCTGCTAAAGAGAACAACTAGCAAATTTTGAAGTTGTCACCAACATTAGATAGTAAACACTCAATTTTCTTTAACATTAAACTATTATACATAACATATTTCTTTATATGTTCCTAGGGATGGGGTCGCACAGAGTCGGACATGACTGAAAGTGACTTAGCAGCAGCAAGTGTCCATATATTATATTATAAGTTACCCCTTAAAATAACTACATATGTACACAGAAGTGGCTATAAATTTATAATTTAGTTTACTACAGCACTTTGGTAAATTGACCTTAGTTACAGCTATAATATTGGAACCAAATCTCAACATGACCCTCCCCCTACTTACAGAACCCAGTTTTGCTTTTTTTTTTTTTTTTAAAAAAAGGCCAGGCTTCAGAATATCTCAGGCACTAAAAAATTTATAACATGAATTAGAGTATTAACTTTTTCAACTGTTGAAAACCAAAACATGCTTTGCAACTTCTAAAACTGAGACTGAAAAGAAAAAAATAATAGTTTCATCAGTTCAGGCTTGTTTTGAAAAATCGTAATTATTTTAATAACATCTACTAGGTTCTTCTTAACAAAGCAATTTCAGGTTTTACACATATTCTATGAAGCAATTTAAGCCAGAAAGAAAAAATAAAAGCCTCTTAAATTTTGCCCAAGAGCAGAGAAGGGAGGTTCATTTTAGCAAATCACTAACAAGTCTAGATATTCTTCAACGAACAAAAGATGAAAGGGGGGGGGGGAGGCGAGACACCAAACACAAGCAGAAAAGCAAAAGTGAATCACTTTAAGATGTTCCTTTATTTCTTAAGCGTCTGGGATTTGTACCCCAAATCTTGATTTCCCACCTTCCCTCACTCCTAACACCAAAAAACAGTCTTAGTCTCCATTTCTTCATACTGGCTTTAACCATAATAACTAGCGGAATGCAGCACACATCCAAGACGTTCACATGATTCCAGAGGTTTTTGTCCTGAAGACAGATTGGAGCCAGAGGGGCCATGGCTGTGCTATGACAAGTCCTCTGATCATAGGTAAAAATAAAGAACACTTCAGAAAGCCCTGAACTTGTGACCCTTGCGAACAATGAACTGCACCTTTGCTGATCTCTCCTAGTCTAGTGAGATAGTATTACATGAACACAAGCTTGAAACAGCACACAGACATGTCACTCACCTCCAGCAACTGAGCCCAGAGTGAATCTGTAAGCAGACTCGGCAATCTGGAGCCAGATAGGCCTGCCTAAACCATGAGATTGCTGTGGGGGAGAAGAAAATATTAAAAAAAAAATTGGAAAAGCATACAGCAAATGAAAAAAGCTATAATTTGGCTATGTTAATTTAAGATTCTGAAATAGATACTTCTACTATAGACATTTAAAAACCGTATCTGGCCAAACAGATACAGTAGCTTTCCCCCCTCATTTTCACAAGCCTGTTAATGCCTCATTTATCTGCTACTATTGGGGAATACACTATCATTCTACAGAAGTGAATCTTATAGGTAAATAAATATTTTAGGTATAAAATCTTCACACCTTCTTTGCTTTAATCAACTTAAAATTGAAAAATCTTTCTAAAATGTACAAAAACTATCTTGTTCCCTCAATCAGAGAATACTGATCATAATTTACCATCTCTGGTAGATTAGATGAAGATCAATATTAGACAGAAGGTCAACATATTCATGCGACTATCATATGACCATTCATACAACCAGGATTTAAGGCAGCTGTTTGTGCTATCTTCCCACACTTGACAGCTGTAATTTCTTTTACCTACGGCCTCCTAGTTTGATTTTGATGCTTTCCTCCCATCTATCAAGGCCGAAGAAATCACTTAACTAGAACTATCAGGATTAGACATAAGCAGGGTCAAAGACGTCTTTTTGGGCTAACATGAAAAACTTTAATAGCTGCTATATTTCGAGAGTTCAGAGCATTTGCCCCCTTACTTCTGGCTCTGAAGCTTAACCACTGAGGTTACCACTAGATAATTATACTTCTCACCTATGCTACTGAGCATCAACTCTCCTATACCTATGTATTCCTCAATTCTGCCTATGCAAAGAGAACACCTGAAAGACTTAAAGATATCCTTGAGGCCTGGGGCTTGTAAATTTTTAAAAGGCTTCAAATCATCCTACTGTATAGTTTAGGTTGAGAGCCACTGTCCTCATCATACTTGTAGTTCTAATACAAAATCTGTGTTGAAAATAAAGCAAATAGGAAAGTCCTATTATGATTCAGAATGGTATTTCATTGGTATCCACAGTATTAACGACCTGAAATAATTTGTCTATATTAATGTGTCAGTCTTCTTTAATATTTTGATTATGAAAAATAGCAGCTACAAATGATAACAGTCTGAATGAAATACTGTTTTATCATAAGAAAACTTGAAAAATATCAACTTGAATGAGCTTTTAAAACACCAGCACAATAAAAAAGTTTAGTCACTCTCACTAGAATAATTTAATGGAAAGGGACTCCATGCCTAAAATCTAAAGGAAAGAAAAAAGTAAGCTAATCTACTTTGCTTTCATTTGTACAATCTCTTCAAAGTTCAATGAGGCAAGCTAAAAATGACAAAACCAGATATTTATTAACAATTTGGGAAGCAGCCTATAGAAAGGTTTTGTGTTCTTGTTTTGCACCACAGTAAGCATTTCTTTTAACAAAAGCATCTGATATCTAAATACTAATATTTACTACCTGAATGTGATCTCTGTAGGCAGAGATCTTTAAAACCTCATTATGTTTGCCACAGTGTTGTGGTTCAATAAATTCTATAGTAAGAAGGAAAATCAGTAATGTTTGATGAAAAGTCAACATGAAACCCTTGGAAAATCTGGCAATTAGTCAAATATCATTACTTCAAATAAAATCACTATTGTATAAATGTCAACTGTCCCAATATACCAAATTTGTGTGCTTAGTCGCTCAGTTGTGTCTGATTCTTTGTGACCCCATGGACTGTAGCTCACCAGGCTCCACTGTCCATGGGGATTCTCCAGGCAAGAATACTAGAGTGGGTTGCCATGCCCTCGTCCAGGGGCTCTTCCCAACTCAGGAATCGAACCCAGTCTCCTGCATTGCAGGTCGATTCTTTACCATCTGAGCCACCAGGGAAGTGCACACAATTAGCTGAAAGTATACATCCATTACAGCTAAAATGGAATTTAATATATAGAAGAAACCATTATTTAAAAGGTGAGGGCTTCTCTGGTGCTCTAGGGGTTATGAATCTGCCTGCTAATGCAGAGGACACGGTTCAATACCTGATGGGGAGGATCCCACGTGCCACAGGGCAGCTAAGTTCTTGAGCCACAACTACTGAGCCCTCACACATGCCTAGATTCTGTGCTCTGCAACTAGAGAAAGCCCAACAAAGAGTAGTTCCCTGCTCTTCACAACTGGAGAAAGCCCCAGCACAGCCAAAAATAAATCAATAAATAAATCTTAAATAAAATAAAAAGGTGAAAAATTGCACATAAGACATAATTTTGTTGTTGTAGGGGATACATTTCCTAGTAATTTAGCCCAAGCAACTACATAGTCACCCATTATGTTTGATTTATATGCTGTAATAAAAGTGAGCAATTAATCATTTAATAGATATTTTATTTGAAATTTAAAAAGGGAAAGAGAATATTTTAACAAAACCTTGTGTATAGTCTAATTTTGATTCATTCAGAGAACAGTAAAAAAAAAAAAATGCCATCCAAAAAGATAATTACTTTTTGTTCCATTTATTAATAATACTATTAATTTTATTTAGAGATTTGCTGTCCCCAAAAGATGAAAGCACTTCACCAAGCACTCAGGATTGGTGACCTAATGCAGCCCTCAAGGGGCCCAATGTTTTTCTTTCTTTCTTGTTTTTTATGGGAATAAAATTGCTTTACAATGTTGTGGTAGTTTCTGGGGGTCCATGGTTTTCAATCTTCTAGAAATAAATTCCCCTGTGAGACCATCAGAAGGGTGTTTGCTCTCAGCAACTTCTACCCACAGCTGAGACCACACTGTACTAATTTGTCAGTCAGTCCACTATACATACACAGGTCAGATGGCCACACTGTGGACAGGACAGGTGGCTTGCCAAAGATCTTACTGTGAAATGGGGAGTAAGCAGAGCACTGGCCCGTGTCACCCCGCTGTCTTCTCCATCATTCTTTAAGTCAACAGTCTCCAACAACTGCTTCTGACTGAACACTCCTGCCAGATACTATATGATCTCATTTATAAGTTATATGTATGTTTCACTGTATTGACTATATGCATAAAAATCTAAATAACATATTATTAAATTACACACAATATATATTCTAAACATAAAAAAATAGAAAATATACAAGAATGAGATGAAATTATACAAGAATGAGAGTGAAAAAGTTGACTTAAAGTTCAACATTCAGAAAACTAAGATCATGGCATCTGGACCCATTACTTCATGGCAAATAGATGGGGAAACAGTGGCTGACTTTATTTTTTTGGGCTCCATAATCACTGCAGATGGAGACTGCAGCCATGAAATTAAAAGACACCTACTCCTTGGAAGGAAAGTTATGACCAACCTAGATAGCATATTAAAAAGCAGAGATATCACTTTGCCAACAAAGGTCCGTCTAGTCAAGGCTATGGTTTTTCCAGTGGTCATGTATGGATGTGAGAGTTGGGACTATAAAGAAAGCTGAGTGCCAAAGAATTGATGCTTTTGAACTGTGGTGTTGGAGAAGACTCTTGAGAGGCCCCTTGGACTGCAAGGAGATCCAACCAGCCCATCCTAGAGGAGATCAGTCCTGGGTGTTCATTGGAAAGACTGATATTGAACCTGAAACTCCAATACTTTGGCCACTTGATGTGAAGAGCTGACTCACTGAAAAAGACCCTGATGCTGGGAAAGATTGAGGGCAGGAGGAGAAGGGGACTACAGAGGATGAGATCGCTGGATCACATCACGACTCAGTGGACATGAGTTTGGGTAGGCTTCAGGAGCTGGTAACAGACAAGGAGGCCTGGCATGCTGCGGTTCATGGGGTCGCAAAGAGTCAGACACGACTGAGCGACTGAACTGAACTGAAACAAAATAATTTAAATTTTATTTTCCTTTATTAATGCAAAACCCTTCTTGGTATCACTTTAAAGTATTATATTAACTGAAAATGCTTCAGTCAGCTTTTCAAATATTGATTGAATATAATGAGGCTAACCAGTTAATTCAGATATGCTGTTTCAAGGACAATTCATTTGAAAACAAATATAATCTGTATCTGAGGCAAAGATGATGTTCAACATCAAATATTTTAAAGAAATTCAAGTTATGGCATTTTGGCTTAGATTTTAAAGTCTTTCATAACCACATATGCTTTTAATTTCTAATCACGCACACATAAAACTTTTCTGAAATTGGGAATTTCTCAATCACAAAACTGGGTGAAAATAAATCTCATTTTCATAGAATATGAATTATTTCCAATCATGACTCCTTTCAAAAGAATATGTTGAATTTAAAACTCACTGACTAAAACAGCTATGATCCCAAATAAGAATCAAGTATTGGGGAGGGGCAAGATAGGGGTGTAGGCCAAACGGTATCCTGATAAGTGGAACCTAAAATATGACAAAAAGGAACTATCTATGAAACAGACACACAGATATAGAGAACAGAACTGTGGTTGCCAAGTGGGCAGGGGAGGGAAGAATTGGGAGTTTGGGATTAGCAGGTGCAAACTATTACATATAGGATGGATAAACAAAAAGATCCTACTGTATAGCAGAGGGAATTATATTCAATATCTTGAACCGTAACAGAAAAGACTATGAAAAACAGTGAATGTATACATGTATAACTGAGTCGCTTTGCTATACAGTAGAAATTAAACACATTATAAATCAACTATACAATAAAATTTTTTTAAAAACTAAAACTAAAGGGGGAGTATGTGATTAAGAGACAAACTACTATGTATAAAATAAAGAAGTAAAAAGGATATATCATACAGGGAAATACAGTCATTATTTTGTAATAACTTTAAATGGAGTATAATCTATAAAAATACTGAACCACTGTTAAATACCTGAAGTTAATGTAATGTTGTAAGTCAACTATACCTCAATTAAAGAAGGAATCAAGTAACCACTAATTCCCTCATTCATATAAAAGGTTTCTCCTATGTTCAATCATATATTCTCTTTACATGCTCATCCATTAAAGAACATTTTTAAGCCCTACAAAATCCTATGAACACTGTAGGATT